TGGTCCGCAGCCAGTTTCCGCTCCTGACACGTGGTCCGTGGCCATTTTTCCACCCCTGACATGTGGTCCGCAGCCAGTTTCCGCTCCTGACACGTGGTCCGTGGCCATTTTTCCACCCCTGACATGTGGTCCGCGGCCAGTTTCCGCCCCTGACACGTGGTCCGCGGCCAGTTTCCGCCCCTGACACATGGTCCGCGGCCATTTTTCCGCCCCTGACACGCGGCCGTAGGGAGGGGGACTCTCCCTCCAAGCAATAGCCGCCTCCCTGAAATTTCCTTTGGGTTGCGACCAATTCGGGGTGCGACCAGAGTCACGGAATGGATTAAGTTCGTAACCCGAGGTTCCACTATACTGTATAATTAAGTACGTTGTGAATTCCCAGTTAATGTCATAGTTAAGATGATTTTCTGACTGCATCGCTATTGAGGTGTGGATAGGAAATGGGTAAAGGAAAACACACAAAAGACAATAAAGACCAGCACAAATTAAACTTCATGGTGATGCAGTTGCTAAGATAAAGAAATACTGGCTGTCCAGAATTGTGGGGGAAGGAGGTTGTGTGTAATTATTGCTGGGATATTTACTACAGTGTGTGTGTATGTATGTATATGTGTGTGTGTGTGTGTGTGTGTATATATATATATATTTGTTTCAGGGTAGTGCTTGTAATGAGTTTTTGTTTGTATTTTGTTTTCTTTATGTTCTTAATGTTTACCTTTCATAGTATGCAAGGCAGGAATCATAAACCATAAATTTAATACTAAATAAATTTAACTTCTATTTTGCAGGTGGTAATCTTCACCTGAAAGATTATCATCTGCAGAATGCATTTACTTTCTGATCCTTTTTTAAAAAATGTCTTTGGAAAGCAAGAACAAGAGCAATAACAACAACAAAACAGTCTTCCCCTGGAAAGATCAGGGTGACTTAAAGATCAATAAAGTTGATCAGGAGATTTTATTGTCCTCCAAATATTGCCAGACAAGAAATCCCATCATTCTTGCCAATAGATCATACTAGCATTGGTTGCTGAGGTTTGGAGTCCAGTAATATGTAGAGATCCACAGGTCCCCACCCTTGCTTTGGAAGATAATTTACAAAGTCATTCCAAGAGAACAAGAGGAATGTAAAACTAACTTGGCTGCAAGAGAAGCATTGATCTTAATACAGGATGATACTGACTTCTCAGCTCAGCCTTGCCCAGGCTGATTGGAAGTGATGCAGTCCAGTGGTCTGGGCCAGGCTCCAGGTTGGCCAAGTAAGTCAGAATATTGAATACAAGAGTTTCTTTTCCCTTCTGATCTTCCTAGTAAGGATTTTGGGTTGTGACCATCTATTGAGGCCAAGATTTGAAGTTTGGTCTCTCCTGTTTATATTTAGTATTCCATTCAGTGTACTGCATTGAGTCACAAGGAGAGCACTTTCTCCATGATAGACTACTCCAGTCAGTAAATTTATTTATTTGTGCAGTTTATCCCTCCCTTAATCCAGAGGGACTCTAGGCAGTTTCCCTATGGATGCGCAACTGCTAAACTGAAATAAGTGGAGGTTGATGATGTAAGGAACACCTAGACCCATTTCTGATCCGTCACCTTTGTTGACCTTGCAAGATCAGCCAGTCATCTGGATTAAGTACCAATCTGTGTGTGGGGAGGTAAAGTCACAATAGGTTTTGTAGAGGCTGGAGCCCAAATAATTTGATATGCTTGATTGCTAATGCACAAGATCTTGGGTTGGTCTTTCTTTTTCTTTTTTTGAAAATAACTCATCCAAACCAGAGCTAACAGTGAGAGAAAATGATTTAAGATATCCAATCATGGTTATCTGGTCTCACAGTTGTTTTTTGTTTTTGTGTTTTTAGCCCTGTCCCTTGAAAAATCTTCTGTCTCACAACAATCCAACATTGCATGTTCACCCATTATACCTTGGTATTTAATGTACTGTTTTGAGACATTCTGTTTCAAGTACAAGTAAACCTTGGCTGATTAGTTCTTTCAGTTCTAGAAGTTGAAGGACCTTAGGTATCATCATCTTCAGCTTGTATTGATCTCATTCTTTCAACGCGGGGAGTGAGGCTAAGATTTGGCTGATTAATACAGATTTGGCTTTCTTCCTAGCTTTAATTTCTTAAGAAAGAGAAGCTATCCCTTTTGTGAATGTATGTACAAATGCTGTCTACCATGATCTATGAATTGGACAACATCCGTACGCTTAAGGACTGCTCTGCTGCTCTTCTAACATGCTACCCTGGAATGGGGATTCTTGTTATTAGAACCACTTGATGGCATAGTTAAAACTCTGGCTGCGCTTCTCTTGGAAAGAGTGAGTAAACTCTTCAGAATCCTTCTCCCGCCTGCTGCTGCTTTCATCAAGGCTGCACGAAGCTTGAACTCTTCCTCTTCTCTTCTTTTTTTCCCCCCTCCTATTTTTTAAAAAGAAAACTCTGAAGCTGCTTTCTGAAGAGAGACAAATGGAACTGGATTAGCATTGCCCTTCCAGCTGCTTGTCTGGGAGCAAAGAAACAGCATGGCAGATGGTAATGTTTTTTCTTCCAAGAACGTGGCTCTGCGATTGGAACAGCAAAGATGGAGAATGGCTATGCAGATAGAAGCAAATGGCATTGTAAATCACTGCCAGTTCTCAACTTCCCTTCTCTTCGCTTCTTTCTTTCTCCATTTTTTTAATGAATAAGCTGTACTATCTTCCTGTATGTGTTATCTTTCTCTCTTCCGGGAACCTGATCCTAAAAGATGCCAAGAACTCTCATTGCAGCTGTCAATTGGAGTTGCATGCAAAGTTGCTTCTTTTTAAGATCAGTTCAAATAGCATCCAACATCTGTGCATTGCTTGGGTCTGCAGCTCTTCTTTTCAGGTGATTTCCCCTCCTCTTAATACATGGTTCATTCACAGTTCCCCACCCCCCATATTTTTTAAAGCATGTAGCTAAATAATCTAATGGTATCCTACAGAAAGCAAATGCAGGATGTGTTGCTCAGTGTCCCCCCCCCCCTTTTAAAGATCAGAATGAATGACAGGTCAATACTAATGCCTTCCAGATTTGCCAGTTAATAATGCCATGCCTTCTGAGCCTCTTTTAAAAATTGGGCATGCCTTCATCTGCATGGAGTTGATAGTGACTGGAAATTTAACAGTATAGAAATACAATATGAACAATTTTAATTTATTTGAAATTAAATATATATATATATATCGTATGTTATACTCTTTCTTCTGAAGAAGCCTGCTTTCATGGGCACCTATTGACTTGGGAAAATCCTTATCTTTGTTTGAATAGTGAAGTATTAATTAGTTAGTATAACAATTTAAGACATAAATATGTCTTAAATATCTAGTGATAGCAATGGCCACTACTACTGATACTTTATTTCCCTTGATAAACATAAAAAGAGTATCGCGCCCCATAAATAATTACATAATTCAGACATCCTCTTCAGAGTGTTTTTTCCTGCAGGCCCCAGGGCTGTTATTTACAAATAATTAACTTCTTCTTTTCAATCTTGACCTTGAATTGACCACAGAACCACTATAAATGGTTTTAACCAAGTTTTAGTGCATGGTGTCCTAGACACAGGTAGTTTTTAACTATCTGGTGTTAGCTTAGTTGAGATGAGCTTTTTCTGAGTCCAAGCATCTCTCTCCGCCAGTACAGGAGAGTAGTTTTGGCTCCCCTCTTACTCCATCTAAAAGACCTAAAAGAAAAATCAGTCCTAAGAGGAGACAGAAAAGACGTGTTGCTCCTTCAAAGAGAAGACGAAAGGTACCTAGAATGGAACACTCATCTGCGGAATCCCGTCGGAACAAAGTAAGTTTTCAAAACTGGTACATATCAACCTCTGAGACTCTTAAACGACTTGATTTTTTTTTTTTTTTGTCCTCCAAACTTGGGAATTATCTTTTTCCAAATGGAACTTTCAGTGCAGCCATCTTGAAAGGCAACAACAACAGACTGCCACAAAGCAACTGGGTTAATTTGATGTTTTTCTCTTCCTTCTTTTTCTTCCCCCTCTTCTTTGGAATAGCATTCTCCATATCTTGGCTTATTCTTAAAATCCTTAACTATTTTTTTTAACGTCACAGATTCTGATTTAAAAATCCGTTTAAAGTTTTCTAAAGGTAGAAAATGTTGGATTCGCCCGTAGAATCAAACTTATTGTCACCCTTACAGCTGCATTTTTCAGCCAAAATGAATTCCTTGGAACTGATGATTTGCTCCTCTAGAATGTTCTACTTGTAATAACTGCAATGTGTTGGAGAAATTTTGCCAGGTTACTTCCTTTCAAAACATGACATGAAACCATTGGTTTCCTTTAGCAGGAGACAACAAATGAAACATCTTTCATAAGAATTGGTCTATAGTCCTTTTTAATTTAATTATCAATAACTGTATGGTACCAAATATTTTGAAATATTGGATGATGCTTGGAGCTTTATGAATGTTTTGAGGCAATGAATATCAGTAAGTTCAAAGGAAGATTATCTGAGGCTGCTATCTATTTGAATTGTTACTCTCAGTGATCAAGTTGGATGAGAACATGATTGTAAGGACAAGTTGATAAGGTGGCTTCATTCTAAATATAGAATCAGTGTAGGTCATGGATGTGGCTGAAAGTTAGATTGAAAGCCCGAAAGCCTGGCCATGGTTCTCCAGCTGTGGACTCATAGAAATGGACTCAATTTGATGTTTGAGTGTTTCACAGTATGAAATGTCTTTTCAGACTTTCCTGATGAATTTGGATATAGGATGTAAATGTTTGGGATAAGCTGTCCTTTTCATCTTGGCAATACCATATTATTATTCTTCAAGAGCAAATATTCTTATAAAACAAACAAATGAAAGCTACCCAAATCACTCAGCTGAGATTCAGGAATATGCCCTGTATGAACTCCAGCATTAGAGTTCGTACATTGAAAGGGAAGGGAGGATGGAAAGAAGCTGTTTCTCTATCATGCTTTATATATAAATCATGCCCAGCAGCTCTCTTTCTTAAATGGCTGCTCAACTTTGCTTTAAAACTCATTTACTGAATGAGGTCCATGAAACCTGCAGGCTGCATGGATTCCCATATGCCTCTTCTAGTCTCTTAAAATAAGTGTGCTGTTAGGAATCAAGGTTGGAAAAATATTATTGCAAGACCTTTATTGATTGAAGTGACCCATTGCTCTGTTTTAAAATTATCTTGGCTCTATGCTTGATTTTTTTATTTTAGAATATGGCTTCCAGAGATCTTGAGTTGGATTTATGTTTTTAGGAATTAAAAAAAGGAGTAAAGAACCCTAGCTTATCGCAACTTTTAAAATGTTAAATGATACAGCATAAGTGTGATATTCTTTAATACCAGCATCAGAAGATTATGGGTACACCTTTTAGTATAGCTCACAAGCTTGTTAAAATTTCCTTGTGTTTACTTAACTCTTTAAGATCAATGATTTTTGATACGATGTGTCGGAGTCCACCAGTACATTGTAGGTTTTAAGGAAAATCTTCATGTGTTCTGTATATCAGATATGATTAGTATTGATCATGCTGTTTTGATAAGCATGGGCGAAGAATATAATGAAAGAAAATAAATACATGAAAGATAAAAACTATCAATCACCTCTAGACATCAATTACCCCGAGGGATAAGCATGTCTCTGAAAACAGTTGCTAAGGATTAATGTGCATGAAGTTATTGTCAGCAAGTCTTTTTTCCCCAAAAAACTTCTGGTTGGCCATGCAAGAACCAGAATTCTGGACTAGACTGGTTTTGGTGTGAAGTAGTGCTAGAGAAAATAATACCATGTAATATAGTATAGTACAATTAATATGATATAAATATATCAGTTAATGTAAACATACCAACAGATCAAAACTCAGGGGGCTGATAGTGTAACCTGTAGTGAAAGCTAAAAAAGAAGATTAATTCTCCTTCTTTGTGCAAATATATGTGTGTATATATAGATGTTAACTCCATTAAGAGATATTGACAAGATCCTTGGGCAACTAATGGATGGATTGAAGCAGCTGAACTTACACCGATGTGCCAACATTATCTTCGTGGGGGATCATGGTAATTAAAAAAGTTTTGCTTGGCTTTGATGTAGGAAAGACTCAGTTTCTACTGGATGGCATTTTATTAATCTGTTAAGATGAGCTGTATTTAAACTGAAACTTCATTTAGAGGGAGAAATCATCACGTACCAGCACACAGTATAGGTTCAGCCAAAGATACAAAGTTTTGGGAACAAATTGATTGTGAACAGATTTCTGAACACGGGTTCTTAATAGCTGACTCATAGTGCAACTTTGTGCTTTTTTAAAAATCAGAAATAGTTTAATCTGATTATAGACATGTTTGATGATCTCATATTTTATTCTTTAATTTGCATTTTTGAGCAGCACAATGGCAAACTTGATAAGACTTCTTGGCTGTTCATAACTTCAGGGATTAGAATTCTCCTCTTACTGCTACTTATAGGATATTTGTGGGAATATTTTAATCTTTAAAACTTAATCCAGTACATTAATATATTTTAATTGCTGAAATGGTGGTCGTTTTTCAGCATCATTTAAATCTGAGGAAGTTATTTCTGGGTTAAACAATAAACTTAGACTGATATGTACATCCCCTGATTCCTTTTTAAAGAATTTGTCCTCTGATTTCTTATTAATTTTTAAAAAATATTTTATTATTATAGCTTTGTAAAATTTTAAGGATCAAACTCTTCTAACATGAAAGGAAGTATCTTGGGAGAGCTGACTCACAGTACTTTTGATTGTTTTTGTTGTAGGCAAAAAATGCATGGACAATATGTGTTTTAAAGCTGAAAAAGACATAAAATTACTCCCATCTCTCAACATCTGGATAGCAAATATCTACACATACTTCTTTTAATAATGCAGTGGTGCTTATTCTATAGGAATGGAAGATGCTGCTTGTGAAAGAACTGAATATTTGAGCAACTATTTGTCTAACATAGAAGACATAACGTTGATCCCTGGAACTCTAGGGCGTATTCGTGCCAAAGCTAATAGCAATGTTAAATGTAAGTTGACTTTTCTACATTGACCCTATACCTTGGAGCATGTCCATTTTCTTCTGTGCCCTTTTGGAGGCTCAGTTTCCAATAGATGAGGTGGAGGGAACATATTTATAAAGGTCCTTCCACCTTTAGAGAGATACAGTTGCTATTTAGAAAGACAATTGCTCTTTTACCTGACTGATAAGTCCCAATAGAGCCAGATATTTGAAAAGATTTTGCTTCACAATGAACTAAACCCCAAGAACCATGAGCAAACAGAAATTAGATGGTGCATTTCTGCAAATGTTTGCCAAAAAAAAAAAAAACTTGTGCAGGTTCTATAGTGTGCCAAGCTTGTCCTAGCAATTTTTCATCTTGAGATCTGAGCTTCACTTTTTTCCCATCATGTTCTTCCTTGAGGCCTACAGTGATTCTTCTGTGAGGAAAAAAAAGTATCTTTCTCTAACCAAACCTGTCGTTTAGTTTAATGCAACTAATTACATATGAATATTCTTGTGCTGAAAACTCAGCTAATGGCTCAGTTTTGACTTTTCTTTTTTCTCTCTTTCTGTTTGAAATCTCACCATCCATGTAACAGTTGACCCAAAAGCCATTGTGGCCAATCTCACAGTAAGTATCTCCTTAGTACTCCACTCCTTCTTAGAGCACACTTTTTAAAAAATAGTTATTATATGTATAGTTGGGCTTATGAACTCAGGTGTGGCTTTAAGTGGAGATTCAGAGTATTCGCAGAAGAATCTTCATAAGTGTGGATTCCATGGATAAATGGGTTTTATCGTTTGTCTGCATTGCCTGCAATTTGATGTTGCATCCACCTGATAAAAGAAAAATTTTATCAGGATTGTGTTGAAAACCTGATGTTTTAAGTTGCACAATACTGGTAATGTAATTAGTGTTGTATTAACATTTAAAATGAGCTCTGGCTTGGATTTGAAGTATATCTTTTTGGAAAATTGAAGCTTGAACTTGTTCACTCATCACTGAAATACTTCTATTCTGTTTTTTTAAAACAATAACAAACATGGATTCTTTAAAGACACTCAGAGCCCAAGCTCTGGAAAAGTTGTATGATGGTTGTAGTGGTTCTTACCATGTTTTGCAGCACTAGGCTGTACCACTGCAGAATATCTGCAAACCATTAATAGTTCAGTTCCCAACATTGCCATCGGAGAAAGGGAACCTAAGTCTAATGATGGATAAAAATTATTTTGGAGCTGCTTTCAGACAGAGGAGAATCTGATGCTAGGATACAAGATGAATCAATGGACCATTTGGTCTTGATTGACTGATTATGTGCCATCAAGTTAATGTCAACTCTTAGTGACCACATAAATAGATTTTCTCCACATCTTACAATTGGACTTTTAATGTCTATAAAATGGGGATTGTTTATCCTCTCTAAACAATGATTTTTCCAGTTAACAGCCATTTTCTGAACACTCTTGCTTTGTTTCAGTGCAAGAAGCCAGACCAGCATTTCAAACCTTACTTGAAGCAACATCTTCCCAAGCGTTTACATTATGCAAATAACCGAAGAATTGAGGATATTCATTTGTTGGTGGAAAGAAGATGGCATGTGGCCAAGTAAATAAGGATTTTTTTGTCCTTTTGACTTGCTGTAGATCTCCCATTTAACCAAATACGATATCTTCAAAACTCTCTTAACTGATTAGTTCAATGTTATTTTGGGCCACAGTTAAGAAATCAGTTGTGTTCTGCACCCAATCTGTATGGCTACAGAAATAATTTTTGTTGTATTTTGGTTAGTTTTGGCTCAAAAATGTAGTAAGAGCAACATAGGTTCTTTATTTCATAGTGTCTCTTTAATATTCTGAGTCATGTAATGTTATAGCATTATAATATAATTTAGATGACAAGACTTATTATTTTCTCAAAGTGCCTTTATTTTACAGAAGCATTTCGTAGCCAGCAGATAATAGCCAATAACCAGCCTGGAGGCCAGATTTAGCTGCAGAACAGTATTTTCCAGCCATTGAAAGCCCACTAGATTTTAGTCAAGATGTAGTAAAAAAAAAGGTGCTCTGATTTTCAAGAAAAAATTGAAAACTGTTTTTAGAATTTCTATGAGAGATTCTTGAGAGAAACATAGAGTTGTTTCTCTAATGCATTTTATATATAATGCTCCTATCATATGCTTATCAAATGACACTAATTTTATGATGGAGGTTGATGATAGCGCATATATGCCATCAAGAAGGGATTGGACTATGTTGCAAAATAGGTTTTCAGCTCCTGGACAATGGGTGTCCACAGGGGACAAGCGAAGGAACATGCATCATGCTGCAGTGGCATAAATCACATAACTTACGTATCTGTCAGCTCTTGGGATGCAGCTACACAGAGGCAAGATTTGTACAATGGCATTACTGTGTGTGTTGTTATTTTTTTTTGTCATTGTGGCTTGCTGAGAATGCTGCTATTCTCAGCCACCATTTGGAAAAGAAAACAAAAGTTGGCTGTTTCTATCCAAACAGATTTGTAGATCCGCTATATTTTCTGCAGTCCATTGGAAGCTGAATGCTAATGTTTATAAAAATTAACTGCTGGTGTGTTAAAGAATCTTCTTAATGTGTTTAGGAGGCCTGCAGATCTGTTTAAGAAAATTAGTGGAAAATGCTATTTTCATGGAGATCATGGCTATGACAACAAGATCAACAGTATGCAGGTAGGGGCAATAAACTACTTGGAGTAGCAGATGGTGGTCAGTAAGTAGTATTGTTGGCATACGTAACTTACAGTAACTTATAAATGTATATTTTAATTAGAAGGCACGTAATTCTAATTCTTCTGCTGCAATGCTATAGTGAGAAAATATTTAAAGATCCATTGCAGCTTATTTTATTCATCTTTGGACATTCCAGGTGGGTTATACCGAAATTTTTGGAATGAAATTAGAATAAAATATAAAACAGAAATAAAGCCTCAAAACAAAACAAAAAGATGATCCCCTAAGATCAAAAGCAAGACCACAACTCATGTTTCAAGAGAATTAAAATAAATTTTGTTTGCTATCTTGACCCAAAATTGGGAACAGAGAGCGAATTTAGCAAAAGGAGAGCCAAAAAAGCATCAAGCAAATGAATTTGGGAGGCTGTTTAAAAGGCTAATCCCTGGTGGGTCCTTACTGCATTCATGAACGTTAGATGATTATTTCAGCAACAGAAAAGCTCACATAGGAGCTGATGGCATTACTATTACTCTATTTCTCTCTTAGACAGTTTTTCTAGGCTATGGCCCTTCATTTAAATACAAGACAAAAGTACCTCCATTTGAGAATATTGAACTGTACAACCTTATGTGTGGTAAGTATTCCTTTTTTAAAAAAAATTGTATTTGAAAACAAATATGCTGTTTCTTTTCTCAGCTTTCATTCTGGCTAACTTCTTAGGATTCAGTCAGCTTGCAAGCTATCTAACAGAAGGACCAAACCCTAAATTTATTCTCTATACAGGTAGTCCTTGTTTAGCAGCCATAATTGGGACCAGTAACTCCATCGTTAAGCAAAGTGGTCACTAAGTGAAACCACGACTGTGCTGATGATCTTAACTTCAGCTTTCCTTTGCTTTACTGACCTGCAAAGGTTGTAAATGTGAGGATTGGTTGGGTCTGTCAATTCCCACAGGCTGAGTTTACATATAGCACTAAATTCTGACTTCTTCAAACATGGTGTCTCCCAAATAGACTAGACAGGAAACATGGTCAGATGAATTAATTCTATTTTATTGTAAGGCTGTGTTAACAGAATCTTGCAAGTCTGAAACTACACATCTCCGCTGTCCCTTTTTACCACCTGATCAGTTAGGGCAAGTCCTTTCTAAGTTTCTTTCTCTGCCCATTACTCAATTGTGGGCTCCTACACCTTTTATCTGATCGTTCCATAGGCAGTATCTCTCCCCCCATCCCCATCTTCTAAGGTCATTCTCACATTCTATTACACATGGGTTGCTAAAAAAAAAAAAAAAAGTTTCACACATTGCAGTAAGGTATTAATTTTTTAAATAAACCACGATGGTTGGGTTCTTACAATGCCCTAAGCTGAAAAGAAACAAAGTGCATGAAGGTTTACTAATTATCCTAATTATTGAGTAATATGAATAAGCGCAAAGTTGAATCCAGTAATCTAAGCCTGGTTTAGTTGTATATCATCAAGGGCATTTTTCTGCCTTCCACCTACAAAAGAATTCGAGAAATGTTTCTTAGCCACCATCTAAAGGAAATCAGTGGGCATGCGCCTACATATGATATAACCGTGCATCTCATCAATGCATTTGGAAGAGAAATTGTGCCTGTCTCTGTCATGTTGCCATTGTAATTCCAGTTTAGAATTTTGGAAATACAGCAGCAAATTAGTCTGCAGGATTTGGCTCAAACCTTACTTGATTTACAACCACATTTCTTTGCTATTTTTAATCCTGCTCCAGATCTCCTTGGCTTGAAGCCTGCTCCTAATAATGGGTCACATGGAAGCCTAAATCACCTCCTGCGGAGCAGTACGTATAGACCTATCATGCCTGAGGAAGTAGCGAGGCCACTCTATCCAGTAGCTACGACACCTTCATCTGACTATGATCTGGGATGCAGTTGTGATGATAAGGTAAACTCATGACATTCATCGGTACCTGGAAGCCCAGAAGGTGATTGCTTCTCAATCTGCTAGAAAGAGGTGAATTATATCTATCTAGAGCCACACCATCACCTGGAACTCCTTGGCATACACTCTAATCTATTTATGTATTAAATTTCTAGTATCTAGACTCTCATGGTAAAATGATTCTATAGCAGTAACAGCAAATATTGTTGTAAAATCCAAATACATTGTTGTTTTGCATGCCGTTTTACCAATCCAATCACTCTCTTTGCAGCTGAATGTTACCCAAGTTACAATTTGCATAGTATTTTCAAGGCTATTGTGATGGACTGACTCAGGAGAATATAAGAGGATGGATTTCTGGCGACAGACTAGATTATTTGATTAACCTGGGTGTCAGGATTCACATTACACATAAAATGATAAGCAAAGCGCAGAAGGTGGGTTTGCATACTACATTAACCTAAAAAGAGCTTGGCTAGATTGCGAGTCACTCTGGCCTGCAAGCTCAGCAGCTGCCCCATCCCAGGTTTGAATCCCCTTCCAGTGAGAAATTATTTGAATTGGACTGTCTTCTAAAACTGCATCCCTACATCAAACTTGCCCCAACAGGGCTTTCTCGAATATATCTACACTAAAGAAAGGAGAAAACCTTCTAGACTGGAAATATCATGTGTAATTGATGGGATAAGTTTGTAAGCCACCCAGAGTCATATGTATGACATGGGCGGCTATATAAATTAGAAATATAAATAAATATGAGAAACAGCAATGCAAAAAGGACAGCTGAGGTTAGCGCCATCGAATTACATTTGTGCTTGCTGACTAGGTACACTTAGCACAGGCTACTTCTCCAAGAACCAACACAATTGCTGAAAAAACTGAGGGAGAGGAAGAAGACTTTACTTGGGAGCCCAAGTTGAATAGAAGGATGTTTGTTTTAGTCCATTTGGGGCCAGATGAAGCACAGCTTTGCTTTAGAACTTCAAATGTTGGACATCTCCCTATTGATTCCTTTGGCAAAGTGGATTTGCATTGATTTCTTCTCCCTTTTCACCAGCTACTAGTCAGACGTAGCAAATTCATTATGGAGAATCTCCTAATACTTCAGGGTGATCTTCTTCATATCTAGTCTTCCAGACAGTCAACAATCAAAGTCTGTGGAGTAACTACAGGGATTCTGCCATCATCCCATAGCCAACATCAACGAAGGCAGGGAACTCACTTCTCCTTTATGTGCCATTTTACAGCAGCCATTCATTCATTCATTCATTCATTCATTCATTCATTCATTCATTCATTCATTTATATATATATATTTCTATCCCGTTGCAATCAAAACACTCTAGAAAAGTTTACATAAAATATAAAAGTGAATTCCATGATACAAACTTCCATAAAGACAATAAAAACAACACCAAACATAACAATACAAACAATAAAAGTAAAGTTGGCATGATAAAATCAGGAGAGGGCCCTCCAAAACAACTCTGTCTTTGATAGCTTCTGAATCACAAACAAGGAGGGGGACACTTCCAGCCTGTCACTTCCATCCCCGCCCTTACAACTTAGAAAGTGGGTTTATTCCAGCTCTTCATTTTGATGATAGTGCACAAAATATGCTTTATGAAACAGCACTGCTGTAATGGTCTGTGGGAATGACCTTGGGAGGCAGGAGGAAGAGCTGCAGACTAGACAACAGTCAGATAAGAGGCAGCTGAGCCCGCAGCAGGAATGGGGGCATGGCAAACATCTCAGAAGGGACCCTCCCTAGTTTTTTGGACTGTAAAGGTGAGGGGGGAGAGACAAGCTTTCAGACATGCAAGATTCTGTTCATGTAACCTTACAATAAAGATAGAGCTAATACTCCTGGGTGTGCTTCTGGTCTGGACTACCTCACAAAGCTGGCAATAGCTCATCTTTCCTTGTTGATAGTAAAAGTAAAGCATCATTTAAAAACAATACCAAATCCAAAACTGGCCTCTGAATGAATGTTTCTTAAGAGCAAATTATCACGGATTATTTATATGGCCAAAAATAAAGATGATCTCTACCTCGGGGTGCATGGGCTGAATGAATGAACAGAATCTGACTGTGTTGTGCAATAGCTACAGTGAAAATAAATAGATGTTTGCATCCCAGAGGTAAGTGAGGGAGCCAGTCTAGTGTCAGCACCCATCCTATGGTGTCAGCAGGTTGTAGAGTTCCACCTGCCAATTCTGGCATAAGCTATTTGAGCATGTTGGTAAATCAGCTGAATGCTGGTGAACTTTGCCCAAACCCATTCAGCCTAAACTGCCTTGGAGAGGTTGTGTGAAATAGCCTAAACCTCCCTCTGAGTAGAGGGACTAAGTGATCCTGGGAATCCATTTTGATCTGGCTGATTGCAAAAGTTTTGCATCAACTGGTAGAATGTGTCTTTCAGTTAGGAAAAGTTACCCATAACTCTATTATGGCTTTGTTGGAAATAATCAGAAATGGAAATAAGATAATCTTTTCTTGTCTGTGTTTGTTGTTTTAAATAGAATAGGTTGGATGAACTGAATCGCCGTCCTTATAGCAGAGGAACAGAAGGTAAGGATCCAATAGATGTTCAGTAAAAGACTGATTATTGACAATCATATTACTGGTGTGTGGGCCTCTCTCTAAAATTATGCATTCTAAATCATAATATAAATCTGATTTTTTAATCTCTGCATTCCATCGGTATGGTGAGGTTTCAAGATCTGGTAGTTCAGCTTTGATCAATGCAACTGCAAAAGCAATTTGTTGGTTTTTAACGACATATGCAAATACATTTAAATCTGTGAATTGCTTTTGCACGTTAATTGAATAATGAACTAACTCCTCTTTTAAACTAGCCATTCTAACTATACTTACCTAGACATCTGTGAGCTCTTTTCCACCCTGTCTCCCCATCTCTTGTTGAATTCACACAAAATCAACTTGGTGCAAATTCAATGAGAGATCCACTATGCAGTCTTTATATTAAAGCTGGGCCTAAATTAAGATGTTATAATTTAAGATATTATTCAACAGCGAGAACCTACCCAGGAGGAGAAGGATTTTATACCAACGACCCTGAGAATGTATTATCTGAGAATGGATGCCTCCCGTCACCAGGTAATCTTACTTGATTTGGCTTCTTTTTACCTAGTACAATATCTTAAATTATCTCTAGCTTTGTTAATCTAAAGACTGCCTAGTTGATCTTTCTTTTATTTTCCATTTACCAAGGAACCTGTATCCCATTATGAAGAAAAAGCAGGTTTGGATTTTCTGAGTTCAAAAATGTGGAAATAGAAAATGGGCGGGGTTCCTCCTCCCAGCAAGTTTTGGTGGAATATGACAGCAGTTCTGGGTGTGATGGGACCCATTTCACATGTCTGCAGACTGTAACGTGCTTCATATGTAGCTCAAACACCAATTACTCCCCTCTCCCCTTTTTTTGCATTTTTGATTGACTGATTCTATTTTATTTATATACCTATATACCACTGCTATCTACATGTATTCATGGCAGTTAACAGTAAAAAGTTGAACAGAGCAACACTATGCTTGATGATATTCCCTGATAAAAGAGTTCTTGGAAACTCCAACATTTGCATAATTGCTTAAACTTTCAGTTACCCTTATAAAAATATTGCCTCTATATAAATGTTAGATATGCCTTTTGTCCCTCATGGTCAACATCACTGTCTCTGTCATTTCCTTAACATTTATAGCATTGTATAGATTTGGGCACAAGTTATTGTAGACTCTGTCATGAAAAACAATAGGATTGGCTATAATTCTTGGTTGAGTTTTATATACTATGGTACCAGATCTGAACTGCAGAAGACTAGTCAACCACTAGGTGGAACCTAAGAGACTCTTTGCATCTCTGTTGCCATCTAGTGGTTGTATAGATTTTGGCTGCCCCCAATACTAGTAGTGAATCTGCATTTGCTGTTGAATATTATCAAAAAGGCCCAGACTAAGGTAATTTAGTGAAAGCATGTCATCAGACAGATGGAGACTAATGACTTTCCAGTTTATTCTTACATTCTGTATCCACTCTCCAAGCTACTGCATTAAATCTTCCTTGTGGTACAATATGGCTGTGTGCAAGGAAAGAACACATGGGCCTGTTTTTATTGTAGAGTTTTGTAAAATGGCTTTGATAAAATCGTACACTGAAACTTCATTGTTCCCCCACTGTTGTCTTTAATTTACAGAGAAGCACCTCCTTTATGGCCGCCCAGCTGTTCTTTATCGTACAAAATACAGTATCTTGCATCATCATGACTTTGAAAGTGGCTACAGTGAGACATTCCAGATGCCTCTCTGGACATCTTACACTATTTCAAAACAGGTCAATAAGTTTGCCTGTTTCTCTGTTTGGGTAGCAGGGCTGGGGAAAGTAGGAGTTGGTAGCATCTTCAGCTTATCCAACCTCTGTTCAGCACAGTAATCTTTGGATGTATATAGTTTGCAACTGTATATATTTGGGGAAGGAGGGAGAAGTTGAGCAAGCCAGTAATGGTTAAGATGATGGACTAGGGCTGGAGAGAACCAGGTCCAGCTCCACCTTGAGCCCCAAAAGCTCACTAGATGACTTGGAACCAATCACTCTCTGCTCAACAAGGGGATTTTTGTTGAGAAAAATTGGAGGGGGGAATGCTAGGAATGCTGCCTTGAACTCCTGGAGAAAAGGCAAGATATATGTATTTACAACAATACAGCTAGTCTTTACTTACTGACTGCCTTGTTTAGCGACCACTCAAAGTTGCAATGGTTGGGAAAAAAACAGCTTTGTGACCAATCCTCACATTTACAACCGTCGCAGCATCCTGCAGTCATGTGATCACCATTTGTGAGCTTCACAACTGGCAGAATTAATGGAGAAAGCAGAAGTAAAATTGCAAGTCGTGGTCACATGATGTCTCAATGATGGAAGTGGAAGTGACGTTATAAGTCTGGTGCAGTCACGTGATTTTTTGCTTAGTGACCATGGTGCTTAGCAACAGTTGCCAGTCCCAGTTGTGGTCAGTAAGTGAGGACTACCTGTATACAAAATACATTTTTTTCAATATCACATGCCTATCTTCTTCTTTTGATGCAGGCAGAGGTGCCTGGTGTCCCAGAGCAGTTGATCAGTTGTGTAAGACCTGATCTACGCATTTCTCCAAGCAATAGTCAGAGTTGTACCGCATACAGAGTGGACAGACAAATGTCTTACGGATTCCTTTTTCCTCCCCGTAAGTTGATATGGGACACCCGTAGATTTTTATATTTCCTAGGGTTGGCATAGATACAATGATAAAAATTAAGCTGTCAATGCAAAATAGATGTTGAATGCAGAGAATGTGTTACTTTTGGTTGCACTGTTTTTGAGACTTGAAGAGGCATGCTGCTAATTCCATGTTTGCTTTGGGGGCGGGGAGGCAGGAAGTGGCTTTGGCCCTGATGGTTTCTTCACATGCTGGAAACCTCTTCTAAGAATAGGATCTCCGCTAGTTCTTGGTTACCCCCTAGAGCTAGTCTTTGCATGAACCCTGAAGTTTACTGGTATAATTAATTCTGGCATGCCATAAAACATCTTATTTTTTTATTTTCAGAACTCAGTTCCTCAGCAGAAGCAAAATATGATGCTTTCCTGATAACAAATGTCATTCCCATGTATCCTGCTTTCAAAAGTAAGTACATGATTTTTGCCTCTCTGAGTCTTTGAGGTAGAATGGTGTACAAACGTTATATAAAATGTTCAAATGTACAAAATGAACAAATGTTAAATAGAAATAGTTATAAAATTTGCTTTGGAAAAGCCAAGTATTTGCTTTATACCTTGATGAGAATTGAAATAGATGATTTTCAAGCAGTAATGAATTCACGGAATGGGAGTAGCCACCCAGAAGGCTGCTTCCATGTGGATATTACTATGGCTTAAAGGGGAGAAATTTGGACGGAAGGATTTTTAGCTATTCTTTCAAGCTTGGTCAGATTCCTGAAGAAGTGTACGATCTTCTAGATATTTTGGTTTCAAGCTCTTTAGGGTTTTAAAGGTCATAATCAGCATCTTGAATTGCACTCATAGGCAAAGTGGTAAACGGTATAGCTAGAATAACAACGGCGTTGATGCGCTGATCTTTTAGAGTTAGTTAAATCCGAGTTGCCATATTTGGGACCAACTAGAGCTCCTGAAGAATCTCCAAGGATAGCCCCATGTAGAACATTTTCCAGTAATCTAAACCAAGAGGTAATAAGGGCATGGAGTCACTCTGGAAGATTAGGGAGCTCCAGAAATGGTCACAGTTGGTGCCTCATTCAAGCTGGAGGAATACCGCTTGTATCCAGTATTTGGTAACAGATCGAATTTCTTTAATTCTCCTTGCACTAGTAACTCTGAAATTCCTTGAAATATAGCTGAGGGTGAAAGGCATGATCCGCCTAACTTAAATGACTGAAAGTACAATCACAAAGAGGTGCCGTTGGCATCACTGTGGGTATAGGTAATGCCATGGGGAAAACAGTATTGGTAGAGCTCATCTTGTTTTGTAGGAGACGAACAATGTGATATTTGTCCAGCCTGCACAGCTGTACCAGCCACTGAAGGGCACTGGGTTGTTCTTTGTTCATGCCCCTTCTGTTTGTTGGGGACAGAAGGGAGGAAACCCCTGTCTTTATTTAATGTTAGGCCTATTTTAGCATTCATAGCTAATATGATGTGGAACTGACATGGATCAGTTAAAATATTCATTTTTCTGTTTTATAATCTTACTAAAATTCAGTTTAGATAATCCTAGTAGCAGAGTAATTATCATTACTTTATCTATCAAAATACCCAAACCACCTATCTAAAGAATGCTCATGGAGAGGCAGATCTTTATACATTTCGTGATATTCCATTTAATGTATATCAGAATATGGTGCATAAGGCTCAGGTTATTTTCAAAGGCATTGTTTGTCTCCTTCCATGGCTGATTTACTGTCTGTCAAGAATACCCATTGTAGACATCAGCTGCCAGCATAGGAGATTTAGCCTGTGTATTATAAACAGCTCAGGAAGGGTAGTCTTCTTTTACACTTTTTGTACTGGATGTATCATAATAATGTTGGTATAGCGAGGTTCATCCAGCATTTGTGCTGAAACCAACCATATGTCTTCAATACTTGATCCTTTTGCCAATACAGAGATCAATATCTTTATGTTTGAGATGCTGGGTGCCCAAAGAAATAAATAGATGGACCAATTCTTGCAAGATTTTGACCATTTTAATGTTACCTGGCTCCTTTGGTATTCTGCGGATATCATCTAGGAGCGTCATGGTCATCGTGGTATTAGAAATGAATTGCTGTTACTAGAACTGCTTGTGCTCACATACCCAGTCAGCATTTATGCTAATGGGGCGTGCGCTGCAAATTTGCATATTTCCCCAAATCTACAGTTTATGCTTTTTTTTTTTTTAATGTAGATGGTATAGGATGAAAGCTTATACTCTTTAATTAAATTTGTTAGACTGAAAAGATGCTGCCAGACTCCTGATTTTCCTTCTTTCATGGCACGGGTGCGCTGTACTTCGTGTCATTTGTGGGCTTTATAAATCACATCGGACCCAAAGATAGGCCCAAAGATTCCAGAGAATGCGATTCTCTGAAACATGTGGGCAGAAGTCTAGCATGGTTCAGATGACCATGTTACTTTTGCAAATTGCTTTTCTCACTCATTTAATTTGTAATTTCTGAAGTGGGGGAAAGTGGACTGTTATAAAAGGAAAACAAGTGGTCACTGACACACTGACCTAAATAGAGGGGACAATGCAAACTGTATTGTCCATCTCTTATAGTATTCAAAATATACTGCAATGGGACACTTTTCCTTTGTCCTTCATTCCAACTTTAATAGAAGATTGAGTCCTCATTTTAATTCCAGCTATCTGAGGGACTGTAGCTTCTCCCTATAATGTATGATCAGACATGACTGGCATGCTCTGGGTCCCATTGATTAAACAGTGTCATCTGATGGGATTCAGGAAGTGGACCTTCTCTGTCACAGTGCCTGCCCTATGGAACAGCATCCCCCTGCCCCCGAGATCCCTGTGGTCCCCACCCTTTGCTCACTGAAATGGTCTTTAAAGCATGGTTTTTCCACCAGGCCTTGCTAGGTGAGCGGCAGGCCTTTTGTGGACTATGTGTATTAGGACAAATGTTTTATCGTTCTTCCAGATGTGCATTGCTTTTTCTTTTTGGTTTTTGTTCCAGAGTGTGTTTATTGTTATAAACTGCCCAGCATTGTTATGGAGTTGGGGGGGGGGAGTTCTGTAAGTCTGATAAAAGTAAAAGTGTTTGCTACGTTTATTACTAGTATTTCTATATCCTTCTGCAAAACAGCTCTGAGCAGCAATGTAAGGACTTTACTCAGAGAATAATGTTTCTGTTATGATGGAATGCTTTCTCTGGTGGTTTTTAGGATAATTTTGCCTGCATTTTTTTATACGTATACAGAGGTCTGGAATTATTTTCAGCGGGTTTTGGTGAAGAGATATGCCATTGAACGGAATGGAGTCAATGTGATTAGCGGACCGATCTTTGACTATGACTTTGATGGCTTGCACGATACCCCGGACAAAATCAAACTGTAAGGATCTTCTACTCTAAGTTGCAATCCTAGGCATGTTTATCTAAGAAGGAGCCATTCTGTGCCAAGTCTTTTGGTTGATGCTTAATTACTTCTTTGAACCATGTACATATCAATTCCCATGAAAAGATCTCACAGCAATTTAGGACTTTCAAGAATCACCTCACATGGGATCTAAGAAACAAGCAGAGTTTTTTCCATTGCAATTATTTTTATTATTGATTTCATTCTTCAATTCTTTCTATCAAGTAAACTCCATGAAAATGTTCATAAATGCATTATACTTAGAACATTGGAAACTAGCTTTTTAAAAAATTATGAGTTTTGTTAAACAAACATACAGAAAATAAAAATGAAATATCACCAAAGAGAAAGGGGGAAAAAAAATACAGCCAGCAAACAGAAAGAGAGAAGAAAGCAAAGAGTCTGAAATTACAACTATATCCCAAGTTCATCTAATTTTGTAAGCTTAAAGAGGAAAACTTAAACTTTCAAAATTCACCCAGCCTATCCAAGATTTTTCTTCCAAAGGGAGAGATAATGTGACATTTTCTGATTAACAGAATATATAATTTTCTCAAAAATGACTAAATCAGGCATCTCTGAAATCCAGTCCTTTCTATCTGGAATTATTGGCATTGGAAACAAGCTTTAACAGAATCCAGACCGCTCATCTAATTGGCCCAATATTGTTAGCACTGACTGGCAACCCCTTTCCATGAGTGTAATCCATGCTCAAGAAGGTTTGGCTAGGAGACTGCAATTTTCTTGTATCCATTCCTAAACCCAGTGACTTATCCAGCAACTTTATTTGGCTAAATTCACTTAAATCCACAAGCCAAGTCTTTTGGTGGGGTGGGGTAAGTTACATAAAATCAGTCTGCTTGATTTACCTGCAGCCATAAAAAGGATAAGTTAGCGTTTTCTTACTATAGTTGGCTGATAATATTTTACCTTTTTTCCCTTGTCAGAGTTTAAAAAAAAAACATTGTAGAGACTGAAGTATAATTCATGCAGTGGTGGGGCTATTTTTCTCCCCCTCATTATGATCAGTTAGGTATGGGTTTCTTTGTCCTTTTGGGCAGCAAGAAATACTGTTTAAATAATTGTTTTAAAGCCAATAAATCAGTGGTAGATCATTTCTCAGAACCCATGCTGCTTTATCTCCCTTAAAACATGTTTGTAAAAATATTAAATCTATCCTACCTTCTAGGTATGTGGAAGGAAGTTCAATCCCAGTTCCAACTCACTACTACAGTATCATCACAAGTTGTTTAGACTTCACTCAGCCTGCTGACAAGTGTGATGGGCCTCTCTCTGTTTTGTCGTACATTTTCCCCCACAGACCTGACAATGATGAAAGCTGCAATGTAAGTTTCAACTGATTCCTGTTGACTTTTTTGCTAGGGCAGCGGGATGTCACAAAACCAGTCTGAAGCAATGTTTTCAGAAAGTTTTTTGAACCATGTTATATAGTTGCAGAATTAAAATAGATCCCAAAGGTGATGGAACCTGTTTTAATTCTAGAACTATATAACATGGTTCAAAAAATCAGGAAGGCAGGGTAAAACAAAGTCAAGATGGTGGCCACATGAGAGAACATATTAAAAAGGGTTGGTTGGTGCTATCCTGACTTTTTTGACAGGCTACCACCCTGCCCAAGGCCAGATTTGTTCTCTGCTGTGCCAGAAGGCAGGACTAGAGCCAACAGTTGGGAATGGGTGTCAGAATCTTCAGCAATCAAAATATTAGCTTTTGGGAAAGAGAACTGGCGGCTAGGAGAAGGGGGGGTGAGAATTTGGGGTAAAAGCAAAGAGAGAAAGAAACAGGCTTTAGTTTCAGCAATGCTTTGCTTAGTGTTACATGTACTGTTCCAATAAATGAAATCT